TATTCAAAGCATAAACAAAATAACTTTGCTAATAGAATTAAAATTTTTATATTATATACAAGATTAATTCCTGATTTCGAAAAATGATCGACAAACTTAATGCAGCAAATCAGGCACTTCTTTTAAACAATTTCAAATATATAGCTCATCAGCTACTGACATGGAGCTAATAGGTTGTTTTGCCATTTTAATTGACAAAACAATGTTTTTTTAATAGAAAATGTTTAACAGAATTTCAGTAAGTTTTCCAGTATTGTTTATAGCATTTTGACAAACTTACTTTAAAAGTATGGCATTGATATTTGCATAACACGAAGTTCCACTAACTGTTATCAACTTTTCTAAAATCAAAATAAATATATATCAGTATTCAGTAACCTTTAAACCTTAAACCTTTTACACTTTAAAACCTTCAAAAATTTTAAAACTTTAAAACTTTTAAACTTTAAACCTTGAACCTTTAAACCTTTAAACCTGTAAACCTTTAAACCTTTAAACTTTTTTTTCTTCTCTCTCTCTCTCTCTCTCTCTCTCTATCTCTCACTCTCTCTCTCTCTCTCTCTCTCTCTCTCTCTCTCTCTCTCTATATATATATATATATATATATATATATATATATATATATATATATATATATATATATATATATATATATATATATATATATATATATATATATATATATATATATATATATATATATTTATATATGTATGTATATATATATATATATATGTATATATATATATATATGTAAAAAAAAAAAAAATTATATATATATATATATATATATATATATATTTATATATGTATGTATATATATATATATGTATATATATATATATATATATATATATATATATATATATATATATATATATATATATATATATAATTTTTTTTTTTTTTTTCGTCTAGTAAAAAAATGCTATGGACTATCTTGATTTCATTTACTATCTTGAAGAAAATTGTTTTTTAATTCAACTATCACAATATATAAACCTGCACCTTGTAATTCATCTATTAATTTCATAACTTTTTAACTAAAGGTACAGGCCAATTAATCAAATATTTTAGAATTCCATTATGGTATTTTCTATATAAGGAATGTGCTTTTATATAGAAAATACCATAATGGTATTTTCTATATAAGAGCACAGCTCTTATATAGAAAATCTCTCATGTATATACTTTTTTCTCTTCTCTCTCTCTCTCTCTCTCTCTCTCTCTCTCTCTCTCTATATATATATATATATATATATATATATATATATATATATATATATATATATATATATATATATACAAATATATATATATATATATATATATATATATATATATATATATATATATATATATATATATATATATATATATATATATATATATATATATATATATAATAATTATTTGCGCCAAAAAAAAACGTTATTGTAGTAACTGTATTACCTAAGTTTTCGTAAATTATAAAAATTTAAATCGTATAAAACTGTGATCATAGTAGATAATAAGTACAAATTATGGTGAAAAATTTTATCGAACTAGAGTGGAAGCTAATATGGTGCGCAAACCTTTGTTTTATATGATAGATTTTTTTTTTAATTAAAAAAAATTTAAGGATGACACGCGGCTCCAAAGAACTTTTTTTTTTCTCTTTTTTGAAATTTTTGACCCATGTGTGCAACCCTTCAACGTTATTTAATTGAAAATTTTTTTCTTTATTTTTTCTCACGAGGATTAAATTTAAAAAAAAAAAATTTGGCGCTGTTTCTCTATATTTTTTTTCTAAACACTGAAAAAGTTAAAGAAAAAGAATTAAAGTGGACAAAAAAAAAAAAAATTATTTACGTATTTCTACGGTCATTTTTATACCAAAACCCACTTTAATTAGTCAAATTATAAATAAGTTATTAAAATATGCTATATTGTTTTGGATATCAAACTTAATGAAGTATTTAATGTAAGATGGATCAGCTCTCCCCTATTAATATACCTTTCTTTCAAGTTGCTAGAGGACAAGTGATAAAAACAAAATTAACAAAATATTTGACTATTTTAAAATTATTAACAAATTGTTGTTTAAATATACTATTAGTTGTGTTTGATGCTAAACCTGTTTTCTTTTACTCTTGCCTAGATCCTTTGTAAAAATGATTAAACAAGAACAAATCCTGTCTTTACTTCTCTTTAGTTGTTTTTATAATCAATTCTTTAACTAGTTTATTAGCCCTCTCTGATGAGTCATTGACCACATCAAAGAATTGAATACTAATTTCAAACTCAATAAAAACAAATAAAAGTAGATGAACTTCCAGAACTGTGAAGGAATCTTTAGCCACAAATATCGAATATTGAAAAAGATATCAATGACATTAAAGACAGTTTTAATTTTTAAGAAGATAAAACATCAGAGAAATTATCACAATTAAAAAAATACTATGACAATGAATTGAAAATTGCATGTGAAGCATATGATTTTTTATCCGAGTATTTACTAAAAAATATAACAAAGCTTTCCCCAAAACTAAAAAAACCATAAAATCTAAAAAAGTGCATAACCCCTGGATGAAGAAAAGACTTTTAAAATTTTCAAAGAAAAAACAAAAGCTTTACGGATATTTTTTAAAAATACCAACCTCTATTAACGAAACGAAATATAACAATTACAAAAAATTTTTTGAAAAAATAAAAAAGGAATCAAAATAAAAAATTCTATTCGAGTTTACTGTATAAAGCGTTAGGAAATCTTAAAAAAACTTGGACTATAGCCAGTTTAACAAATCACATAAGTTTTTCTTAGTAACAAATCACATAAGTCTTTCTTGAAACAATCTGATTTTATAATGGTAGATTCTGAACTTTCTACTGATGAGCTTTGTTTAGTTTTTAACACGCTTCAAATAAATAAAAGCTTTAATGATGTTTGTGCGAATGTCGTGAAAGCAATATATGATATTATAGAATCATCACTTTTCATTATATTTAATCTTTCCTTAAAAAATGGAGTCTTTCCTGATCAGTTAAAATTTGCAACGAATCAATAGCAACAAACTACAGGCCTATCTCAATTCTTTACTGTTTTTCAAATCTTCTTGAGCGTGTAATGTAAAATATACAATTACCTTGAAAAAACAATAGTTTATATCATAAAAAATTTGGAATTAGAAAAAAATCATTGTACTGAGCATGCAATAGTTGATTTGACTAACAGTTTTTTTTAAGGATTCAATGACAATAACTATACACTTGGAGTTTTTGTAGATCTAGCGAAGACGCTGTCAATCATGAAATCCTTGTCTATAAATTGCAAAACTACGGAATTTTGAATTCGAATTTAAAATGGCTTCAGTCTTTTCTTCTAAATTGTAAGCAATGTGTAAAGTATGACTTTACCAGTACATAATTAGAAGTTATTAATTATGGTGTCCCCAAGGCTCAATACTTGGTTCTCTGCTATTTCTCATATTTATAAAGGCTACCCACTTATCCTCCAAGTTCCTAAATTTCATTTTCTTTGCGGGTGATACTAATATTTTCTTTTCTTGTCTTAATTTAAAGTACATTTTTTCTACTGTTAACACTGTACTAGTAACTCTCAACGACTGGCTTAAAGCTAATAAACTTTCCTTAAATAATAATAAAACGAAATATACTTTTTTCACAAAATCCTCTAAATCTGATATCTTACCCTTTAAACTTTCAGATTTATTTATAAACAATATTAAAATAAAAAAAGTCCATTCAATGAAAATTTTAGGCATATTATTTGACGAACATTTAAATTGGAAAAATCATATTAAGTTAATAGACAAAAAAAGTCTTTGGTAACCATGATCAAAACGCGGTATCTTTTGAATAGTAAGTGTCTAAAAAGATTATATTTTTCATTTATCAATAGCTATATTAGTTACTGTAATATAGCTCGGGAAAGTAATTCGTCTTTATTTAAAAAAATTTATAGCAAACAAAAACAAGAGACTCGGTTAGTTTTTAATGCAAATAGATATGCATACACCTTTACTAAAAGAAATTAATGCTTTAAATTTATACATAATTGGATATTTATCAAAATTTATTGTTTATGTTTAAACTTCAAACCAACATGTTTCCGTCATACTTTCAGCCACATTTGACTTTAATTAATCACAGATATTTAACAACACATTCTATTAACAATTTTAACATTCCGTCAACAGCACTTAAAAAATCAGACTACTTAACTACTTGTTGTGGTCCACGTCTGTGGAACTCAATCCTTTATAATAACATAAAATCTATCACCACATTTAAAGCTTTTAAAAAAACAGTAAAAGATTTTTGTTGAATTTTTAACTCGTTTTGTTATGTATTTATTTATGTTGTTATATATTTACTAACATGTATGTGTATCTTTAACTCTTAAATATCTAAGAACTAATTTTATACTTACATTTGTTTTGTAAATTTAAATGTGTAAGCAGGGTCAGACTAGCAAGGGGGGTTGAGGTTTTTTCTCCCTGGTCTCTGCTATGTGTAAAGGTCCTGGGCCCCTCTTAAAATCAAGATACACAAATAATTTTTATTTTCCTATACCTTTTAAGATCCTATACCTTATAACCTTTTACGGTTAAACGTAAAAAAAAATCTACTTAAAAAAATATAAAAAAAAGAAGGTCCTCGATATATAATATAAACTAATTTTTATATATAAGGCGGCCCTGCATCTATGTCTTCCCCCCGGGCTCCTAAATGTCAGTCTAACCGTGCGAGTAAGTAAACTTTTTCGCTACTTAAGGAGCAAGGTGATATAATATTTTGTTTTTTGGTTGCTCCTGTCAAAATTTAAAGAACATATTTTTTTTTTTACATTGTAAAACTTATTTATTGACAAATTATATATACAAAAACATAAAAAAAAATTGTAAATATATTATATAAAAAATATATTATATAAAAAAACAACAGTAGAGTTGGAAAATCGATTAAGACGAAATAATTTAAGAACAGACGGATTACACGAAACACAAGGAAAAAATTGGGATGATTGCGAAAGACCTATTTAAAAAACAACTTAAAATAACAATTGAAGTGGTGATTGAAGGAGATCGTATCGATCAACAAAAACAAAACAAACCGAGAACAATCGTCTTAAAACTCTTAAATTTCCAAGATAAAAACAAAATTCTCAACGCATTAAGCATTTTAGAGAAACCGGCCTATAAATTAATAAAGACTTCGCTCCAGAAACAACTGAACACCGAAGAAAGCTTTGGGAAGAAGTAACAAAACTACGCAGCGAAGGTAAATACGCTATATTAAAATACGATAAAATATTTAGTCTAGATTTCAGAAAGTAGCGCTGCGTTTTGATTTCATCTTTTTTTTTAAGCGAACTTTTTTTAAATGACTCTTTTGATAATAAAAAATTTGTTCTAGGAATCTTTATTGATCAATCAAAAGCATTCGTTACTGTTGATCATGCTATATTACATAAAAAAATGGAAAACTATTGCATTAAAAATGTTGCTTTACTATGATTTGAGAACTTTTTTATAAACAGACAGCAATTTTTTATTATGGATAAAATATCCTTTCAAAATTGCTTAAAATTAAATGCCAAGTCCCCTAAGGTTCCAATCTAGCTCCCATACTCTTCTTGTTATGCATCAATGATCTTCCAAAAGTCTCAAACAAACTCGATGCTATAATGTTTGCAGATGATACTAATTTTATCATCTACTTCTATTACAGAACTCTTTAAAACTGCAAGTATTGAACTTGAAAAACTTAATATTTGGTTTAAATCTAACAAAATATTATTGAATACAGAAAAAATCAAACACATTCTATTTCATTTCAATCAAAGAAAAAAAATCCCCAAAAAATCTAATCAAAGTTTTAGACAATCTCTACTACTTATTTTGAACCTTAGTTTTTGCTTGCCTATTCAGCTATAGGTTAGTTTTAGCTATACGTTATTTAAGGCTGTTCTTTCGAACAGGAACTTAATAAATCCGACCAGGATTTTAATTTGTGTTGGAGTAATTTTGCTGGATTTAAAAGCATATTGCTTTGTTCTAAATCTAAAATACATGGCAAAAATATAAAGAGATATAAAATACATGTCAAAAATACAACCAATTTTTTTCTAAACATTTATTAATTCAATTCTATGCTAGGAATTTATTATAAGTCGTTCAAAAAGCACAACAAAAAAACATCAACAAACTGACTTTAAATATTGTTTACGATTTTTTTAAACTTCCATTTTTTTATTTGCAATACTTTAATTGCTTCTGACGTTTAGAAACAATATCATTAGATATCTTTTGTTAAAAGTGGAATGTGATTGGCTAACTTTAAATTATGATAATTCCGCTTGTTTAATTAAAAATTATGTTACTACTAAGTTCTTTGAGAAATGACGTATTTTAACTTCGTTCTCCCTTCAGCTACGCAATTATAACTCCTTGGGTAAACTGAAATTTTTTAATAAATCAAGTATACGTAAATATCGCAACTAAAAGCGGTTTTTTGTAAGCATGGGCGCTTAACTTTTTTGTCCGGTAAATCCGTCCGTTACCGCAAACGTCCGTTACGTTAAAAAATTTCAACGGACGGAAATAACAGAAATTTTCCGTTAAAATTTTTTAACGGGGCGTTAATTTCCATTAACTTCGTTAATTTCCGTTAATTTCGTTAGTTTTATATAAAAATAGTTTTAGGTTATTTAAAAATAAATTTCACGACGTTCCACAGTGGTCTGATAAACGCGATTTTTGGCGAAAATTAAAACTTTGATGTTTTTATCCTAAACCGATAACGCTGAATCTAAATCCAAAAACAGGTTTTAATTTAAAGGTTTTGTTATTCAGATATTGCATAAGCGGTCTAGTCAAGAATTTTACAAAAAGTTTTTATTTTTTGCTTGTGGTCTCATAATATATCGGATATATATATATATATATATATATATATATATATATATATATATATATATATATATATATATATATATATATATATATATATATATATATATATATATATATATATATATATATATATATATATATATATATATATATATATATATATATATATATATATTATATATATATATATATAACAAATATAAATATATAAACCATACAGTGTCGACACTATATAAATATAGTGTCAATACTTTATGGTTTGCAATGAATATTAGTTCCTTTGTTTTAACTATTTGCAGCTAATTCTTATAGGAATTATAAAAAGATAATAGATGTTCAAAATATACTATAAATATAATGTTTTAATTTCGGACTTTGCATTTTACATAGATTTTAAATTTACCAAAATATGCATCTTTTCAAGTATTTTCATCTTGTTAAGTATATGGAATAATTAAAAATATATATAGGTAGCAAATACGATTGTATATAGAAAAAAAAAATGTTTTTTAACATGTATTTATAGAAATAAAACAAAAATAGTGACACTAGTCTTTTTGATAACATAAAAAAAGTATATTTTGGGAGTTTAAAGGTGGTTTAAATAATTTTATTCGCAGCTGATTTTTTTAAATAATATATTGATATTATGATTTAATAAAATCATATCGATCAAGTCCATGCATGCAGATATAAGTTTTAGGAAGAAATTGAAATTGAAAAAAAAAACTTTTATTTTATTTTAGTTTCAAACATAAATAACTTATGCAAATATACAATAATCTGATAATATGAATACGCGAATTTAATATTATTATTATTAGTCGAGTTACGTCATTTTCTAGGCTTTTCTATTTTAAAGTAATTTCTAGGCTTTTCTGTACGCGGTTTATTTTTTTTAATTTTATTTACTAACAACGCATATTACAAGTAATAATAATAATTATTATCATTTCAAATAAAACTTTATACTATATAATTTGTTTAAAAACATATATATATATATATATATAATATATATATATATATATATATTCATATGTGCATATAGTTTTAAATTTACACACAAATGAAAAAAAGTTTAATTTCAAAATAAATTATTCTTCGGTTTTTAATCGCTCTTGGATACGACTATTGACTTTTCTTTCAAGAAAAATTATGAAACTTATATATTTTTAAATTGCCTAGACAGTGTTGTATTTAAAAAAAAATTAAAATAATAAAAATTACAGACTTTTTTTTAATATACATTTTGGCCTAAAATCAAGTTTTTCAGACCACTGCACAGTGTGCCAAAATGCTTAAATTTGTGACAAATTTATTTTTTTATGTAATTATGCTTATGATAACTTTACTAAATAGAGGTATATTAAAAAACAGTTTTTTAATAAAAAATATTTACTAAAATACTTTAAAACGTTTAACATAGATTTCATATCCACTAGAAATGCAAGCTAATATAATATGCAATTTTTTTATTAATTGAAGATTGAGTCCAGTAATTTCACCAAAATTTTCTTCATTTTTGGAATGCCCTTCAAGCAGTGTTTCCATCATTAGAATTGCCTGCTCCACCGGATCGAGGTTTGTCTAATACAAGACCAATGTTTTCTTCAAACTTTTGCTGTACTACATTTTTTTTCTTTTTTACTTTCTGTTTTTCTTCAACTGATCTTGCCTGCCATATCTGAATAGGTAATTTGTAGCTGATATTTCTTCTGAAACAATTTTTTCTTTAGTCTCTTTTTCAAATCAAAATCTAAGTGGACGACAATGCAATTATGCCTTTAACTGCTGCTGCTTTTTGTAATTTGTTTTTTTTATTTAAGGCAGTTTTTGAAGCAAACAGTAAAGTATCTGAAGAATGTTCAGTAAATTTGCTTATCCTTTTATACTTTTGTCTTAAACAACTGTAAAGAAAATTAGATTGAGGTCTCCCTGGACCTATACTGTGACTAAAACAATCAATAAATTTATTATTTAACCAGTTTTTATTTTTAAGTTCAAAAGCATCTGCTTTGCGATAAGCAGAGTTCCATCTAACTTTCATAATTTTTAGTAAATTTTTAACTTGCACTTTTATATAGCTTTTCTTTTCATTTCCATTACATAAGTTATACACTATAATATTACAAATTGAATTGTCCTGCATAGAATGTCCATTTTTTGTTATATAGTTATATATATCTATACAATTAATATTGCTCATTGCAATATGAATTATATAGATATATATAACTATATAACAAAAGACAACATATAGAATAATAGTTGTACAGAAAATATGATATATAATAATCTGTAAATATTTATTACGATTTTATCTTGTATTTATTTAATTAAACTATTATGCAACCTACAATATAAAATAATTTCCATTAAAAAAATAAATTACATAAAAAAGTTTGTCCCACGAAATAATGTGAAACATTGAATTTTTAAATATTAATTGTAATCTTGTCTGCAAGACTCTGCAAACAAATTAAATCTATAAAAATTCTAAATATTAAAGATTTTTAGAAAATGTTATAAAAACCTTTGCAAAATTTGGCCAAGAAAATATATTCAAATTTGGCCAAGAAGCAAATTTGGCCAAGAAAATATATTTACTATTAAAAAAGGGTTATATTATTTTTTTTTTCAATTTTTTTTTTAATGTCATCTTACAATGCACACTTATACACTCATACTTATTGTTTTATTAGCATTTGTTTACAATGTTGCTAGCATTTTCTCTGATAGCATATACCTATGTATATTTTAAATTTTTTACAATAGGAAATTTTTAGTTTTGAAAATATTTTTTTAAATTATACATTTTTTGTAAAATTTAAAAAATTTTTAATTTTAGTAAATATATTTTATTAAAAAACTGTTTTTTAATATACCTCTATTTAGTAAAGTTATCATAAACATATTTACATAAAAAAATAATTTTGTCACAAGTTTAAGCATTTTGGCACACTGTGCAATATAAATAAACTATAATTCAATGCTTTAAAAATGTAATTAGCTTATTCAAACTAAACAAAAAGTATGTTCTTAATTTGATAATGTAAGACTTATTTAAATTCGAAATAATTTAAAAACGTAGATTAGTTACGAAAAACACAATATTTTTTGTTTTTGACTCAAATTTAGTTCCTGAGTATTTTATAAAAACAGCTTTTTCAAATCAGTATAATGTATTGCATCCTAATAAAAATGTATTAATTATTTTATTTTATTTATAGACATATTTAGTTTACAATATAATATTCATTAAAGACGGTAGCAACAATTTTTTTCCTGGTTTTTGTCACATATCTGACCCACTGTGCACTGTGCCTTCGGTTAAGTGAAAGATTAGGAGCAAAAAATAAATTT